CTCCCTGCATCCCCCTGACCCCTCGTGGCACTTACACGGGCCACATCCACACTGAGCCCTGCGCAACATCTCACCTTGGCCACCCTGCAGGTGTCTTGGATTTCCTGACACGGGTGCACGAGCCAGAGGAACTGCTCCCAGACGTGCTCTCGGGGCAGCTCCTCTTGCAGGAGGACAGTCATCATGGCAGCCACAGCTCCAAGGACGGCCTGTTTGTCCTGGAGAGGGATGGCAGAGGCCCGGCATCAAAGACTGAAGGTCCGCCCTTCCTACAGAGAGGGCTTTCTTTTTCCCTTCCCCTTCCCCTTCCTCTTCCCCTTCCCCTTCCCCATATCCCTGTGCCCAGCAGGAGATGGGCTCGCTCTCCCTGGACAGGCAGGTTTTCCCTACACCCTCATCCCCAGCTCTCCCTGTCACAGTGCTGTGACATGTGGCTGCTCCCTGGCAGAGAGATCCAGCCCCAAGCACAGAGCCAGTTTGGAGCCCTTTGCAGAGCCAGCCCACACCCTCTTGTCACCCCTCTGCTCTCAGCCTGCTGGGCACATACAGAGCTGTCGACATGGATGCCCCAACTGCCATCCTGGGCTGGGAATGCAGCAGTGCTCACCTCTTCCTCCTTGCAGTCCTGCCAGTTCCTCACCACAGAGAAGAAGAGCTCATCAAGATTCTCATAGATTTGTTCCTTCTCTGTGGCAGGCCAGGGACATTGCTTTCTGGAGGACATGTGAATCTTGACGCCGTCCATCCATTGTTTCACAACTGGAAAACCAAAACAAAACAAAAAAATAAATGAAGAATTAATTATTAAAAAAAAAAAAAAAAACCACAACAAAACAAAACAAGAGAAAAAGGAGCCTGCAAGAGTCTGCAGCAGGGTGAGGTGCAAGGGCTGTCCCAAGCCCGCCTGCTCTGGGGCCAGCACTCACCAGCACAAGCAATGCGCAGGGTTTGGCCGCTCCTCACCTGGCCCACCAGACTGCGCAGGCCAGCCAGCGTCAGCCACACAAAGGAGATGCACTGTGGAGCTGCAGAGAGGAAGGAGAGGGGCACGGTCAGAGCCTCAGCAGGGAGGGAGGAGAGGCTGCAGCCCTGCACCCCCAGCTCTGTACAGATCATGCCAAGGGGAGAAACCCCTTTGCCTGGTTGTCATAGGCATCAGGAGGCTGAGGGCACTCTACCATAGGTGCTGAAGAGTTTGCCCAGGGTCAAGAGCACAAAGTCCTTAGACATCTCCCGTGTGGCCTTCAGGTGGCCCTGGAGCTCGGCCATCACCAAGCTGAAGTGTGTCCGGGCCAGAGCCACCAGGACATTGCTGGCAGCCGTCCTCACGCTGTCCGTCACGCCCTGAAAAAGAGTCACTGGTGACACACGACAGGAGACTGCCCGAGGCCTTCCCTTGGAAGGGCTCAGCGACCGCCGTCCACCAGCAGAACACCAGCGCGGGCAGGCGGCTCCCTTTGCCTTCGGGAGTGACCCCTCACCTGGGCTGCTGTCAGGTCCTGGGACACCTCTGCCAGCAGCCGGTTCACCACTCCGCACGGCGGGCGGCTGTCACCTTCCCACAGGACGTGCTCCAGCTCGCAGTACGCCTGCGCTCGGTCACCCTGGGGACAGGGATAGGTCACGTTTTGCTTTGCCCTTGTTCCCGGGGAGCTGCCCGCTGCCACCCATCGCTATGCCGATGAGCTGCCGGGGCCTGACACTCACGGGACAAGAACCAGGGCAAGGATTGATGGTTGGACGTCCCCAGCTCACCTCCTGGTCTTGCAGGCGCTGCAGCAGTAAAGTCACGGCACAGGTGGGGACAGGGCTTTCCACCCTGCCTCTCTCCCTGCGACGTGTAGGTCTGGGCATGCAGCCCACACAGGCAAAGAGACCTGGAAGGAAAGAGCAGAGCAGCTGTCACTGGTGTTGCTTGGAGCCAGGGCCGAGCATCCGGCCAGCTCTGGGAGGAACGCTCCTCCAGCCCCATGGTGTGGGGTGGGCTGTGCTGGCACATGTGTGGTTGGTGGGGAGAGGGGAGAGAGCCTTCTCATTGCTGGGGTACTGGGGAAACCATGATGGGCGGCTGCACTCAGCAGAGCAAGAACAGTGCTGCTGGCACATCCTAAAGAGACACTGGTGGCATACACATGCTCGGGCAGCGTCACGGTGTCCAGAGAGGTGGAGGGACCTCACCTCGAAGGGCTCTCAGCCGCTCCATCATACAGGATGTTTCCAGATAGACACAAAGCTCTCTCTGGGTTCACTTCCTGCGCGTCCCACAAGCGGACTGAGCCACCGCTCCCACCACTGCCACAGGGGTGAAAGCAACAACTGTGACATCACAGCAAGGAGTGCCACCTCACAGAGAATGACGTGCCCGGGGCTGGGTCCTATGATTCTGTGATGATCATACACTATGATCATCTCATGTGTCCATGGAACTGCCCTCTATATTTAAGTCTCAAAGTCAGAAAAATATTTTCTTTCAGTATTATTTGATAAGTGTTTTTCCAAGTGCCTTTGAGGTACAGATTTCTACAAACACTTTGAGATCAATTCTGTGCCTAAGTTTCATTTCTAAACATTTTTAGAACAAATACATATGGGAAGAACAGAAAATAATAGCGGTTTTGTAATGCATATATGTAACTACAATTAAAAATAACTTTCTGTGTTGGTATCTGTTCGTGTAAAGGCTAAAGGCAGCTTAGAATAAACAGATCAGTTTGTTTATATTAATTGTGTGGCACAAAGTGAATCTAGGATGAATAATGGAAAAATACTTTTCATGTCTTCCACTACAATAACTTCAGAAGTCACCTGTAACACTTTTCCTTAATAATATGAATATTAAACTGATATCAGTCTCAACTTTTTATTTTTCAAAAGTCATGATTTGTGTGACTCAAACTGAAGTCATTAGGCAAATGCAGCTGTGATATGAATTTTATAAAGACAGCTCTCAAATGAATTCCATTTTTATCTTATCTTAAACATTTAATACAAATGCTCTCAGGAATATCTCATATTTGGAAAGAATCCAACTCATGAACAAATGTAGTGATTTTAGATCACTATTCAATTGCAAACAAATCACTCGCTATTTACGTGTTTTCCATCTTGCATTTAATAATTGTATATGTATGATTACTCAAAGGAAAGCAATAACACATAACAGTAATAGGAACTATACTATACGAAGTCATGGAATTAAATTTATCTTTACAATATCTGTTTAATTGAGATTCTATATATACCACTTCAGAAAGCATTTATTTTTCCAGTCAAATTGGAATTTGTCCTTATGAATTGCATTATTGTTGACAAACAAGACACAGTGCAGTAAAACTGCGACTATGGAAACATTCAAATGTCTGTTTACTTGTCTTGATTGAGACTTATTAATAATTCTAAAAATGAAAGTCTGGTGGAGACTACTGATTATGCAGAATATAAAATCCGATTTCATAACCATATACAGAATGTTAAGAAAAAAACATGCAATAGCATAAAATACGATCTTCATTTTGACAGGTGACATGACGAGGGGAAATGGCCTCAAGTTGTGCCAGGGTTGGATATCAGGAAACACTTCTTTACAGAAATGGTTGTTAAGCACTGGAATAGGCTCCCCAGGGAGGAGGTGAGTCACCATCCCTGGGTGTGTTTAAAAACAGTTTGGATGTGGTGCTCAGGGACATGATGTAGCACAGGGTTGTTAGAGTTAGGGTGGTATGGTTAGGTTGTGGTTGGACTCCATGATCTTTTCCAGCCTGAGCAATTCAGTGATTCTATATAGTGAATTTGGTAAAATCACAAGTAACAGGAAGACAAATACTTCTTGTTTCCTTAGCTTCCAAATTCAGATACAGTATCTGATTGTACAGCAATATATAGTTTTGAATTTTTTCCTTTATGTAGTAAAAATGTTGTGGGATTTTGTTTTTGTTTTTCCAAATACTTAGGATCAAATACTTTTTCTAACATGTTTTAAGTGCATGACACTGCTTCCCTCTTTGTTGGAGAAGTCTGACGTTTTGCTAGCCCTAAGTTTGAAAGGGCAACTTCCCAAGTGAAATGTAACAGCTGACAGTAATATAGACTAACAGAGGGCTGGGAGGCAAAATAAAATGTTCTTTCACAAAACTGACTGTGAATGTTTATGAAAATTTATTTCACTTAGCACTGCAACAGAAAAGTTCTACATTAAACCACCAGATTTGCACCAAGGATACTGCATGTAATAGTAAAGGGCTAGGAAAGCCCAGCTGCCTGTTTTCAAGTCTGCAGATGAAAATAATCTAAGTTCACAAAGTCTGTTTCTGGGCAGGAGGCTCCCAAAAGCAGAAAGCCTCTACTACACAGTACAACATGCTGCTCACAGGAGTTGTTAATAAAATTGACTGGCTATCTAATTCATCAGCATCGTACATGGCAATAGCTAATTAATGACATGCAATATTACATGGCTCTATCATGTATCTCCATGGCCATTTTTCTCCCCACACTTCTCTTATCACCTCACTGAAAGATGCAGTGACATTAAAGATTGATGAGGTTGCCTTCCAGAGATACCTGACACCCTCTTTCTGCAGCATTTATTTGATACAAACGCTCTTCACAGACAAGACACTGAGAATTTAGTTTCACCAATCAGATCTGGTTCAGAATTCCATTTAATAAGTACAATCAGTAAGCTAGTAAAATTTAAATGGAGAGATTCTTGCAGCCAAGAGACTTCAATACACCTAAGGCAAAGCAGATAAAGCAATAAAGATCCTCTAGACTCTCCCAATCAATAGAAATACGTCTCTCGCCATAAGTAGGTGATGATAGGTGAAAAGAATTAAAAATAAGGAAAAAAAAAAGCTATTAAAATGGAACATTTGAATAATAATTATTTTCAGTGTGAATCATCAGCTTTGCATTTTCTTAGCAGAAAAACTGAAGCATTTGGAAACATTTAGGGAAAGATCACACTCAGGTCATGTGCTGTTTTATCTTTTTGACACTATATATAACTACTGTTTTATAATAAACAGGAGGCATTGCTTCTTGGTTGTTTGGTGTCATTTGATTTGGGTTTGGGTTTTTTTTGCTTGCTTATTTTTAAGAAAGCAACATTTGTTTGGCATTTATGCTGCCAAAAGATCAAGATATCTATGTGAAAAGCAATTTTTTTTTTAATGCAGAATAGCCTTACTACTCTCCTACTCTCCTGTCAGTCATGGAGATGCAAACAATGGAATGCTTTTCAGTATATCTTATAGCTCCCTCCATTGGCTACATCTCCAGTAGGATCATGAGATATATAGAAAAAGATCTTTCTCAGGGATGGATATTAGCAAATGAATGCAATGTGAAGAGTGTATCGTTACCAAAAAAAAAAAAAAAAAAAAAAAAAAAAAAACCTTTAAAAAAAAACCTTTAATATTAAATCTGCTTTCGCTTCTGCTCCTGACCACAAATCAATGATTTGCTAATATGACTGCTAGCTATGTAGAAACAAGGTAGCATTACTCAAACAGGAATTGTCCTCCTTTGTCATTCTCCAGTTTCCTCAGATATCCAGAAACAATAGCTAAACATTTCAACATAATCTGTGAATGAATACATGTAACTCACTGTCTCTTTATAATACTAAGAAGGATAAGCCTCAGAGCCAAAGCAAATGATTACATTGCTGATGCTGATACAGAAGCTGAAACGTGATTTCATGCAGACTTGGGTGCAGTGAACTGAAAGCCTCTTAGATGTTTACTCATTTATAGCAGGAGTTAGCACCTCACCGGGGGGGCCTTTGCTTGATTTCTTTACCAACAGTAACAGTCACATGTTTTCTGACATTAAAATTTCTTTCAGTGCTCTTTTCTAACCACTCAGTTAGATTAGTCATAGATGCTGTAAAACAATTACTAATTTAACCTGAAGTCCAGCATGGACACAACTTTAGATGTCTGGGACTAGAATGCCCAGGGCCCAGCCTGGATAAGACTTCTCTGAGCATTCCCTTCTCCAACCTGCACTATTGCAGCTCTCTCAGCCTCTCCCCAAATGACAGAGACTTCAGTTCCTCAGTCATCTTAGTGGCCATTCACTAGACAGTTCAGTTAGCTCATGTCTCCCTTGTAGTGGGGAGAACAGAGTTGGACCCAGCATTCCTCATGAGTCTCACTAGCATTGAGCTGAAGGGAAGGATCACTTCCCTCAACTATCTGTTCTGCCTAATGCAGCTCAGGATGCTGTTGGTCTCTTTTGCCACAAGGATTTGCCTGGTTCATGATCAGCTTGATATTCAACTGGGACTCCTGGCTTCTTTTCTGCCAAGATGCTTTCCAAGAGGTTGGCCCCCAGCATGTACTGTTATTTATTTTCAGGGCCAGGACTTGTCATCTGCCTTTCTTCAACTCTATCAAAACTATGTTGGCCATCCCTCTGTTCTATCAAAGTCCCTCTGAACAGCAACACATTCATCAAAGCAACACATTCAATCAAAAACTTAACCCAAGAGACCTGTTCTTCTGTCCAGAAAAGAAGCGGAGTCTTCTAACAAGTCCTGTTCTTTAGCAGAATTATAGCACAATAGAGGATGGTGCTCTGGAAGACTGTGAAGAATAAATATAGTCTTCCTTAGACTTGCTTACAATCAGAAGGCATATGGTGTTGCATCTTATAAGACATTATTGGTGGAATTCTAACAGCAAGAAGTAATGAAGTGCGAAGTAAAGCCAATTTTCAGTCATTTGAATTTATGAGGACCTTATATTTGGGATACTTGCCTTTTTTGTACACTTATCTTGTCATTAAATGTGTGTGTGGAATATATATTACAAATAGCATAACAGACTCTGGGAGAAAAGAATGTATTGCCAGGATGTCATTTTGTTCAAGTGTTTTGGAGGACACTGGAAACCGCAGAAAAGAAATCTGAGTTGCCTGTGATGTTACAGAGATGCTGAGATTGCTAGAATAGCCCTGATATGCATAGATGCTTATTTATTTTTTATATCAAATGGACTTTTAAAAGCTTTTCGTGGTGCTGTAAAATGAAAAGTCATTCATCTATTTCCTACTCTTCCTGTCTTCTTAACCATGCAGAAATATATTCCAAACTCACAGGGCAGAGTAATAGCTGCGTGAATTTAAAATCACTTAATTTTCACAGATATAATGGGAACTGGAATTTTCCTAAAAGCTGTTAGATTCTCATTTAAGAATGGGATTCTTCCATGAGCTATTTGTTTTTCTGCCAGGATGTTAGCTTGGATATTCTCATATTCTATTCCAGTGAGAAACAAAATTACTCAGAAGACCTATACAGAAAATTGCTTATTATGTTGCCCCACAAAGAACATATCATTTTCAAGATTTA